CGAGCTGCTCTGCTGCTGCGCTTCGTTTCTGAATGGAGCAGCAGCCCCCAAACCAGGGGTTGTGTCCTGTCCTCTGCAGGCAGGAAGCGCAGCCGGGGGCTTTAATCAACCCCCTGAAGGTCAAACCGCTTGAGGTTTGGCCCAGCCTGATTGCAAGTGCTTGGAAGATCAACGGTTAAAATGTTTTATCGCAATGTTTGCCGTGCAAGCTCTTTTGCAACGGCAATGATGAAACGGGTGTAGAGTGCTGCCAAGGAGGTAGATGTTAGCAGTTGGGGGAACAAGACTCCCTTTTCCTTCGCAGTCCCTCCGATGGGTTAGTGGCTTTAGTTTCAGTTGCTGATGGCTTTCTTGGTGTCCCGCAACTGTTTCACTGGTTTTGCAGCCTCTCCTTTCTCTGAGCAGTCTGTATCTGCTCGCAGAGACCTACCCCTCTGCCAGGCCAGCGTGCCGAAAAGCATTCTTTGGGGTGGGGATCCTGGGAGAGGGACCAGCAGTTGCATAAACCTCACTTTCTTACCCAAAGCAAGCCCTAAAGTTGCGTGTTGAGGATTTGCAGGAGAAAGGGCTCGCGTAGCAAAGTGTGGAGCTGATGTGTGACTGCTCCTGCGAGGTGCCATGAGCTGGGTGCACCTCTGATTTGGGCTGAAATAAGACTCTTAATTTTGAACTCTTCCCAGTGAAACAGCTGGCCTTTGTGCTATTTTATGGTCAAGTAAACTTGGGATGATGTTTCCGGCTGTGGCTCAGCTGATTAAAGTTCAGGGCCTGGCAAGTGAGGCTGATTAAGTAAAATATGCAGCGTCCAGGGTAATATTGCAAGGCTTACCGTGTGAGTTGGTTTGAAACGGTGACAGGGAAGCGAGTTAGAGTCACTGCCAAGGAGTTATCTCAGCTGTTGGAGAAAGACGTGTCTCCCGTTCAGTTTGCACCATCAGGGTGCAGCTGCTGTTTGTAATGAATAGTTTTGTATTTAGTTGTTAGTGCTGTCGCTGTTAATGGAGAGAGGGAAGTAACCTCCAAAAGCGAAGCTGCAGAGTCCCTTCCTTGCATGGCAGGAACGTGTGGCTTCACTGTTTGGTTATGCTGGGCAAATCTCTCCTGCTTAACTGTACCATAAATCTGTGGCACTGGGGGCTTGGAATTGGTACTAGATCTTGCTCCTTGCTTCACACCAATCCCTGCGTGTGCTAGCACAAGAGCTCCTCGTTCAGCCTGCGGCTGGTGGGTGGGGGGGAATTACAAGAGGAGAATTTTTTTCTCTTTGTTTATTTAAAACCAAATCGGTGTGTTTACCCACAGCACTTGTCCCCAGGCAGCTATAGGAGCAGAGTTCCCCAGTATTGGAGCAGACACTGAGATGACCAACCTCAGAAACCACAGGCTGTGGTGCTGTGACAGCTCAGGGGAGCGGGGCTGGCACAGGGCTTGGGGCTTTACAGCTGTAAGCTGCTTGTGAAGAGCTGGCTTTGCGTTTATACAACGCCTCCAAAGGCAGGCCCTGTTAGTGTCTCCATTAGAAATAGAAAGATGGACAGAGCAGTAGATCCTACTGCCCCGGAGGGCTGAGCGTTAATACGAGGAAACTTTGGGCTTTGCATTCTGCGTATCTCCTGCTCTTTGCCCATGTACAACCTTGTCTTAAAAACTTAACTTGGGCTGGCCAGCCCACGTGGTGATGCTGAAAGCTGCTTGATGTGTGTTGCCTTGATGGCATCTCCAACCTTGGGCAGCATCCCTCGGTCCCCATATTAACCTGGTCACTGCTGACTCCGCTCTTGGAGTCCGTACACAGCTCCTCAGCTGTGCTGTGGCTCAGTGCTTTTTTTGTTTTGGTTTGGTTTTTTGCTGAGGTTTTACTAAACAACCTGAAAATGTATTTTATTTTTTTTCTTTTTTTGCATGGGGTGCTGCACATCAGTGCTGTGAGCTGGACCTGCCCCTTGCGTGCTGAACTTGCGCTCTGCTTCTTGCCAACCTTTACTCTGCCCCTGTTTTTAAAAGTGGGTGTCTTTTTGGCTGGTTTTGCTGCCGGTCTGTCTGGGGTTGGAGCTGAAGAGGGAGAGATGGGAGCCACGGTAAGGCAGGGGTTGCGACAGCACCAGTTTAGACTGGCTTAAACATTTTTTTTTTCTGGGAAATTCACTTAGCCCAAGGTCTTGCTACCAACTAGGGGAGGATGCTTCACCCCTCCTCGCTGATAAATGCCTTCAGGTTTATCAACAGCGATGGGCTGGAACCCTTGTGAGCTCTTCGCGCTTCATTACCGTGGAGTGGCTGACGCTGAGGCTTTCCCCATCACTTTAGGCCGTCCAGCTGCTCCAAGAAGCTGTCCCACCCGCTAGAAATGAGGGCAAAGAGAAGATACTGCCTCTTCCCAGGTCGAACCAAGTCTCTCGGGAAGGCCGGTACTGCCCGTGTCCTGCTTTGCTTGCCCCTTCCTTGGCTGGCCGTGCGTGGCTCTGCCTGCCAAAGTGACACCGAGAAACCTCAGGAGCTATTGGGTTTCTCTGGCGACGTTGCAGGCGTGCAGCTGCCATCTGTTGCTTTTCACCGTCTTTTGCAGAGTCACGGTGGTCAGCGAGGGCTGGGATATACGCCGAGTCTCTGGTTGTGTGCTGGGTTGTGGAGAGCTTTAGGTTTTTTAAACTTTTAACCTGCAGATGCAAGGGAAATCGTTAATCCTAGGGGAATGTGGTCTGCCTAGAGCTCCACTTTTCTAGGCAAGCCTGCGTGCCAGTAAAATTCTGGCTGGTTGAAATGCTGCAGGTGTGGCCTTCCCCACAGCTGCTGAACTCTGGATTTGCTGCACATGGAGAAAGAGCTCCAGACCTGTCTAATGTCCAAAGATAACACACAACAGTGCTGTGCCTGCAGCTCTGGCTGGCTTGAAGTCTTTCTCATCTGAAGTCTCTGTAGTGATCTTGGACCTCCTTAAGTCAATTTGAACTTTGGATCCCATCCAAAGAAGTGCATTGAAAATTGGAAGTGTGCAAGAGTCTGCAGGTAGCTCTCAGTGGGTGGGAAACTGAGCTGATAATGAACAGATTTACATCACAGAGGAGGTAATGCAACTGCACAGGGCCACCCTCAGCTGCAGCACCTTTTAGAAGTGTGCCTCTCTCACGGATGAGGCAGTAATGATTCTTCTGAAACCAGAACATAAGCAGAGAAAGAGCAGGGCTGAGCTGTGGTTACAATGCCATTGTCTTCAGCGTGTGCTGACAGGCTCACCCATCTTCCGGGCGTGTTGCTGGACTTCCATATAGGCAGTTGCATACTCCGTTTTGGAGGGTGCTTTTTATTATGCTCTATGAACAGCTGCTCTGCTTGTTGCTTTGGCCGCTGGTACATCCGTACTGTTTACTAACAACACCGTTGGCAGCAAACCCATGCTTTTACTGTTCGGCTTCCTCGGTAGATGTTATCTTGAGGTTATTTCAGCTTCTTCCTTTGTGGTATTGTCTGAAGCTCCCAGCTTTCCGGCAGGAGAGGATGCATGGAGTGCCAGCAACCAGCAGTGCGTGTGCATTGAACGCCCTGGGAGTCAGACCCTGGTGGTATTTAGCAAGCCTCAGTGGTTGTACCCTGGACGGCACAGGGTGTTCCCTTCCTTGCCTGCAGCGTGCTAAGGCGTCGTGTGTTGGCGTGCATCTCTGGGCAAGGTTCCTCTTGCATGTGTTATAAGGTCGAGTCCACCCAGAAAAGCCCCTGTGCCGAGCCCCTGGTAACAGCTCTCCTCTGTCTGTCTTTGATTTGCAGAACAATCAAGTTCTTGGGATCGGAAGCGGGTCTACAATTGTCCACGCGGTGCATCGATTAGGTAGGATGCTCCCCTTTGTGCTTCCCACCACAGAAAATCCCCTTATCTGTCTGCTTCAACTACTTGAAAAACATGCTAAAACGCCTGGCTGCTGACTTAGAGCTGGTGCGTCGGGTCTGTTCACCAACTGCTCTGTCCTCCTTGGAGCTAAAGGTTAAAACTGGCTCTAGTGCTTCAAATTTACTACGTAGAGAGTCCTGAGGAGGTAATGATTTGCCACCTATTCTCCCCATAGAGCCAGGCAAAGCGCTTTGCTGGCACCCAGCACAAACTGGAGCTAAACCCCTCTGTTTTGTTCCAGCACTGCACAGTCTGATCTTCCAAGTCTGACTTACTTTGTGGCTTTGGGCCACACAGCTGCTTTGCTTCCGTTAACCTGTTTGTGTGCGGCTGACGCTGCTTGCTCTCATCCTTGTTATTCACACTGAGGGTCCTGCTGAGGTGTAATGAAAATGAGGAATGTGATTTTTTTTATTATTTTTTTTTTCTTTATACCCTACAGCTAAGTTTATCTGCTTGCCCCAGGTACAAGTTTATTCAGAAAATTCTAGCAAAATATTCAAGTGAGGCATTTAACTGCATTTTTGCAAAGTGAATGTGAGGTTAATTATCCTCATGCCTCATTACAAAGGGCGAAGAGGTTTAAAGTTTCCATTGAAAGGCACTTTCAGCCTGAGGGCCGTTCTGCTTTGTGGAGGTGCCGTACCTCATCCTGCTTCGCTGTCCTTGGATGCAAAACCAAGCAGCCGTGCATGAATGGGTCGGGAGTGCAGGATCAGCTCTGGCGTTCATGAGAGTCTCACTGGGGCTCAGAGCTTGCTGTGACCTGGCTGGGTGGCTCTGGGTGGCTGAGAAGCGCCCTTGCAACCACCAGCTCCCTTGGGCAGTGCTTATCTTGGCAGAGAAATCACAGAATCACAGAATGTTGGGAGTTGGAAAGGACCTCTGAAGATCATCTAGTCCAACCTTCATCCCAGCATACCTAACCACTGCACCATAGCCTCAAGTGCTAGATCTACTTTTTTTTCAAACACCTCCAGGGTTGGTGACTCCACCACCTCCCTGGGCAGCCTGTTCCAGTGCCTCACCACTCGTTCAGTAAAGAACTTCCTCCGAATATCCAATCTAAACTTACCCTGACGCAACTTGAGGCCATTTCCCCTTGTCCTGTCATTAGTAATTAGGGAGAAGAGACCAGCACCAGCCTCACCACAGCCTCCTTTTAGGTAGTTGTAGAGGGCAATAAGGTCTCCTCTCAGCCTCCTCAATGGCAGAGGTGGTGCCATGCCTGCCCCATGGCACCCACTTCACCTCACGCCATGTGTACAGTGCAGTTATTTGTCTAGGAGCTGCGGTTTGGCTTTCTGGGTTTGACTTGGTATCGCAGCCGCTCCCGCCTCTTAACACCCAGTCGGTCTCTAAATAAATATGTATGGTGTCTCAAGTGGAGTGCCTGTTCCAGGCTGCAAATTCTGGCTTCTCATGGCTACTGAATGCATTAGCACTGGGATGTGGGTTGCAAGAACGTACAGCCTCACGTTTTGTCTTCAGTCCTTCCAGCAGAAGCACGTAACCCTTGTGCTCGCTCTGGTGCGAGAGCTATTGCTGACTCTCTGGCTGTTGGTTTATGCCTAAGTACTGTAATTACTAAAATAACATTTTGTCCATAATAATACTGTAGGAATAGATTTTAGTCATTTGACGTTAACCTGGGGGAGGAAATAATTCCTTCCATTTAATGGAAATTTAATGGAATACTGTATTTTATTAGTCCTTTCCCTGCCATATATTTAAATGTTCTAAAATGAATGTGATGTCCCCAAGGCAACAAGCCAGGAAACCTTTCAGACAGCTGCTGAAGCTTTCTGTTTACAAGGAGCGCAGCAAAACCGGTCTAATGGAGCGAGAGAGGGGAGTGGGGCTAATTTCCCAGGTGACGATTTGCTGACGAGGCTTCTCTGTTGCTGGAGACACGGAGGTTAATGGCTCGTGATGTCTTGGGCTGAGGCAGGGTGGGTGCTTAAACATTTCTGACTGTAGAAACGGAGCCTTAGCCTATGCAGGGTGACACCTGTTTGCATTTGGAGCATGACTGAGTTATTTGCAAGCCAAGCAAGTAATTTCAGTGATTCAGAGGGGCTGTTCTGAACTAAGATTTCTTAAAGTGAAAGTTGGTGTGTTTTCGGCTTTGCCCTTCTGCGATGAACAGACCGCGGCTTCTGCTTTTTTCCTACAGCTGAGAGGGTTAAAGAGGAGAACCTGAGGATTGTCTGCATCCCTACGTCTTTCCAGGTAAGCGCTTTCCTCCTTTGCTTTCTGCTCATCCAAACACTCATGCAGGAGATCTTCCCTCTGGCTGCAGGAGGCAACCACGCTGCTCTTTGGACTGGCTCAGTGAGGTGTGAGTTATCCAAAAGCGCAGGTGAAAGCAGTGATGCAGCCCGCAGATGGGCTTCGTGAGGCTGATGGTGGTGGTGCTGTGTTACCCTGACCTGAGCTGGAGGTCCTGGCAGGCGTGTTTTGAACCAGTGTGGTGATGCTGGTTATGTCGGTGTTGGTACGTGGCTTGCTCTGGATCACACTCACAGAAAAATGCAGTTTAGTGGTGAACCAGACTCATAATGCAAACCTCATTGGAGACACTTAGTCTCCTTTGATTCTGTATCAAGCCCTGAAAGCACTGAAAATCATGCTGCAAGCTCATATGTTTGCAGGAGGAACTTGAAATGTGTCAGCTAGGTTTTATAAGAAATTGCAGAAGGAAAATCAGCTTAATCTTGCCTTTGCTGCGCGGCTTTTGCAGGGGTTGGTTCATACTGAGCTAGCTGTTGAGAGTTTGCAAGGAGAGGGAAAATGTGGCTTCGTGAAGTGCAAAACTTCTGGGGGAGTTTCAGAGCTCCTTCCATGCCCAAAGGAAGAGTCAAGAGGCTTTGGTCCCTCTGCCTCTATGCCCTGAGGTGGGAGCTGCTGCAGAGGAGCAGCTGTCACCTTAACCCCTTCAGACAGGGAGAGGTGACGTGAGGGGGATCCCTGATAGGGTTTTCAAGGCTGGGTGGCAGTGCCCTGGTCCAGAATTGAGTTGGATAGAGACCAACCTAGAATCATAGAATAGTTTCAGCTGGAAGAGACCTTGAAGATCATGAAGTCCAGCCTTTGTCCCAGCCCTATCAACCGGCTAAACGATGTCCCTCAATGCAACATCCACCCGTCTCTTAAACACCTCCAGGGACAGACTCAACCACCTCCCTGGGCAGCCTGTTCCAATGGCTGACAACCCTTTCAGTAAAGAAATTCTTCCTAGTATCTAACCTGAACCTCCCCTGGCACAATTTGGATCCGTTTCCCCTTGTCCTGTCACTCTCCACTAGGGAGAACAGACCAACCCCTACCTCTCTACAACCTCCCTGAATTATCCTAAAATCTTACGGAAACTTAACATCCTCTTACCCTGCAGATGTTCTTTAAGTGTGAATGTTGTGGGGTGGTGGGACTCTCATTTTCCAGCTGTTGCAGCTGGTGGTCAGTGGGGTTATAATACAAGCTGCTGCAAAGAGCAAAAAGAAAAACTAGGTTTTGTCTCTCATTTTTAACCTGTATCAGTACTTCTGTTGCATGTATAGACTGTGGTGAATTACATGTTTGACCTCTGTAAAACGATCCTGATCCTGAGATAAGATGTCCCATTTGAACCTAGGAAAGTGCTCTGAGTTTAGTCATTAGGTCCTACAGAAAATAGTGATAAAGCTTTCATAGTGAATGTGGGCTGCAGCCTGTCCTGCCTTGAAATCTTGGGATGATTTGTGTAATGCTACAAAGTTTCTTACCGCTAAAACAGAAAGGTTCCTGTTAAAGATGAGAGATGGTACACCTGCAGGAGCCAAAATCCCCTGGACATGGGGCCATATCTTTTGCAGCCTCTTAGACCCCAACCAATTCCGAGTGAAGCATTCCCAGGTCAGCAAAACAGCATCTTATTTTCGCTACGTACAGGTATAAATGGCTGCCTGAGGTCACTGGCAAGGAAGAATTGGTTTCAGTGAGCTTTTATCCCTCCTTTCCCCGTTGTCAGGTTGGGTTATTCCATCACCATCAGTAAAGCTAGAGCCGGGGTAAGTATCTGTCCCTTGGCTTTTGTGTTGTTTCTTCTTTCCACCTGGACGTGTGCCGAGAGCACGGAGCGAGACCGTTCTTGGCAAGTGCTGCACAGTTGCCAACGCTTTTCCACGAGTTGTGGGAGCTCTTCCTGCTCCTCTGCTCCCATGGCCTTGCCGGCAGAGAAGCCTGGAGAGAGCCACCTCGTTCCCACACCGCTAACTCTAAGCCTGTTCAGGATCTGGCCTGCATGTGCAGCACAGTGTTTTTCAACGCTTTCATTTCCCAGGTCCTTGAAATCTCTTTACGTGGACACCGTGTAATGAATGTAAACCCACGGATTTTTATTCGTTTTGTTTTGTGAGCCCTTGGGGCAGTCCTAGTGCACAGATTAAGAGCTCACAGCCCATAGGTGTTAAAACTGCACGCTATGAAATCCCGTGATAAACGATTCAAATGGTGTCTCATTGCCAGGATTACCACCTGCTAACTCTTCTTAATGTTTCTGGGGTGCCAATACAAGTGACGCGTTCTGTTAGTGTTAGTGGGTAAAATTCAGGGGAATCAATTGATTCAGGTTATTGCATTGAGGTTTCTTGGTCTAAATACAGCCTGGTAGGAATTTCAGACTCAAGCAGAGTCCCTGGAGGGAGTGAGTCTTGCTCAGGTGATGCTTCGTAACACAGAAAATTCAATCAATTCAAGGTTCTGTAAGCTTAAACACCTGTTTGAACTGAGGACATAGTGGAGGGTTACCCTGGGTGCTCTGTGTTGTATTGCCACTAGAGGGAAATACACGTCCACTTCAGTCAAAGCAGATCGGAGCCACCAGACAGCTCTTTCAGGAGGTTTCTCATACTTTTTCCATGAGCTATGCGTTTCTTTTTGGCCTTTTTGTTTGTTTCTTTCCACCACAGAAAAATATTTTCATTGTTAGTCCTGCATCACTATGATGTAAATATTCCATTTTCTCGCTTCCGTTTTTCAACTAAAGAGATCTGAACCCAAGAGTCCCATTGCACGTTCTGAGCATTTCAGTTCGAGTCAGCAGCAGGTTTTTCTTTTGGTGCCAGCAGTCTAGTCTGGAAGCACCATTCTCTCTTTGCCATGCATCCCTGGCTGCAGCCTCTCTACAGCTCCGGGTGGAGAAGTGGAGCTTTCCCGGGGAGACTCCATCCCTGCCGCAGCTGAGGGAATGACATGACAAGTCTGTTTTCCTTTCCTATCGCCGGTAAGTGGTGTTTGCTGTGTTCTTGGTGCACAGGCCCGCCAGCTGATCCTGCAGAACGGCTTAACGCTAAGTGACTTGGACCGACATCCAGAGGTAAGTAGGACCGTGGAGGTGAGACCTCACCTGACCTCCCTCTGACCTCTCCTTCGCGAAGCGTCAGGCTCCTTTGTCCTCCCCTCAGGATGAGAGTTTAGGCAGTCGTGCTGCAGAACATGGACGAGAACTAGCTTACTTAATTTTTTCTTGTCTTAGTAGTTGTCCCTTTAGATGGCAAGTGAGCTGCTGAGTTGTGTTTCTTCCAAGTGTTGGCAACTCTTCCGGGCTGAGACTTGCTGGCCTCAGATGGGGATATGGCACTGCTGAGGTATTGTGCCCAAGATTTTCCCCAGGATACCCCAGCCCTTTAGCTGACAACACTAGAGGCTGACATTATGTGCCTTGCAGGCCAGTGTTTTTCGTTTTTGTTTTTTTTTTTCTCAGATTCCTGTGATTTAGCTGGGGCTGGTATCCTTGGGTGACTGACCAGATGCTCATCTCTGGTCAGGCTGGTATCAGGGTGGTCTCAGCTCTAAAAACATTTCTTGCTGCTGCTTGGGACCTGACGCCCTCCCAAGCTGTGGCAGGAGCAGCACCTGGATGTTGCATGGGAGAAGTTTCCACACCAAATTTCTCCTCTTCCTGCAGCTTGACGTTGCCATCGATGGAGCAGATGAAGTGGACTCTGACCTCAATCTTATCAAAGGTGGCGGGTGAGCCTTGCTGTCTGCCTCTGTGCATGGTGCTGGTGGCGGGGGGCCTCTGAGCATCCTTTTCTGGCTGTGGATGTCTCTGGGGTGGGCTGGAGAGGCTGAGGGGATCCTGTGCAGCAGGAGGTGGCTCGTGACTGAGTGTGTGTCCAAGGGACAGGGAGGATAAAGTGATGGGGGAAGGGAAAAAGATGTGGTGTGGGAGAACGACCACACCAAAATCAGTAAGAACATGATGAAGGGGACTGAACTTCAAGGCCAAAAGGCACATTGAAGAGCAGTTTGGTGTTTTCTGTTGTGTTGATTTGGGGTTTTTTTTTTAATTTTATTTCCCACTTGCAGTGGCTGTTTGACGCAGGAGAAGATAGTTGCAGGATATGCAAAATGCTTCATCGTTATTGCCGATTACAGGTGAAAATATTACTATTCATTAGAGCTCTGTCCTGTGGGAGGATTTGCATGGTCCTGTGTTTGGCCGTTATTGCCTTTCCATTGAGTCGAGGGAGCAGGAATAGGTGGAAATGAGCCTGACTCCAAGTGCTTCAGCAATTCAATTTAGCTTGTTTTCTTAATTTTCAGCTCAGCAGGCCTGCTTAGGAGTCAGCAGAGCTTGTGGGGAAATGTCTGCTCTGCTCTTTGAGCTCAGTGATTGTCAGCACAGAATAAACTTCCCCTTCTGTACATACAGCCACGGGGCTGTAGAAAAAACAGGCCATGTCTTGCTTGTCCAAAATATTTCAAAACAGGACTTGTGAGTGAATAGTGCATCATGCATTAAACTACTTTTTCCTACATGTACCTGCAGTTGATTACTATGTCCTCCAGCGCCTTGTGCTTGGGGGGTTTGCAAGAGGCAATGTGGTAATGTTAATGGTGTTAGCAGTGTAACTTCTGATATTAATCCCCCCTCAATACTGTGTCCACAGGAAAAAATCGGAGAGCCTCGGGGAGAAGTGGAAGAAGGGAATTCCTATCGAAGTCATCCCCATGGCTTACGTCCCTGTCACCAGAGCTCTGACCAAAAACTTCGGAGGCGCTGTGGAGCTGCGGATGGCTGTTAGCAAAGCGGTACGTGTCCCTGATCGGTCCCGCGTCCCCAGAGGAGCCACCTGAATGTGGGCAAAGGGAGGACTAGAGGTCTGGGTTTTCATCTAATTAAATCTGAGCTTCTGCTCCTGCGAGTGGCATCTTGTCTAATTCCTCCTAATTATACTTTGGTTAATGAACTGTGTGTTTAGGGATTGGCGTTGCTCATGGAAAGCCTCTCTGGTTTACATGTCCTAAAACAAGTGTTTCTCAGCAGGGAGAGGAGGGATTGCCAGTCCAGGTCTGACCTGCTGCTCCGCAGGGCATGTTGTGGGGCTGGAGGGCAGTGTGGGCCACCAAAGGGGGTCTTGAGTTGGGGAGACAGCTCACACTCCATCTCAGGCTCCTCTGTGCCACATGGAGCCAGACTGAGTTAAAACTGAAACTGCTCCATGGGACAGCAATGGGCCCTTGTGGCCAAGAGGGCCATTGGGATCCTGGGGGGGCATTAAGAAAAGTGTGTCCAGCAGGGCTAGGGAGGTTCTCCTGCCCCTCTGCTCTGCCTTGGTGAAACCACACCTGGAATCCTGTGTCCAGTTTTGGGCTCCCGAGTTCAGGGGAGACAGGGACCTACTGGAGAGAGTCCAAGGGAGAGCTACGAGGGTGATGAAGGGACTGAACATCTCTGCTGTGAAGAGAGACGGAGAGACCTGGGGCTGTTCAGCCTGGAAAGGAGACGGCTGAGAGGGGACCTTATTAACGTATAAAAATATCTGAGGGGTGGGTGTCAAGGGGAAGGGGACAATCTCTTCTCAGTGGTGCCCAGCAATAGAACAAGGAACAATGGGTTTAAGTCAGAACAAAGGAAATTCCACCTCAACATGAGGAGAAACTTCTTCGCTGTGCAGGTGCCGGAGCCCTGGCCCAGGCTGCCCAGAGAGGGTGTGGAGTCTCCTGCTCTGGAGACTTTCAAACCCCACCTCGACGCGTTCCTGTGTGGCTGCCCTGGGGGATCCTGCTCTGGCAGGGGGTTGGACTGGATGATCTCTAGAGGTCCCTTCCAACCCCAAACATTCTGTCACTCTGATTCTGTGTTTTGTCTCTGCTGCCACTGACCTGGTCAGCAGGACTTTGCCAGCCCACCTTGCACAGCGATGGAAAAGAAGGGCTGCAGTGACGGCAGGAGCCTGAAGGTTGAATGCATCCAATTTTTTTTGCAAATTTTTAATGCATCTAATCCCAAGAGGCTCTAGGGACTGCATTTGAGTGCCTGAGAAGAGCAAACCAGTCATTGTGTACTCGAGGCCAGCCTCGTTCAGGGAATGTACACCACAGAATCCTTAAGGTTGGGCAAGACCAGTGCTGCACCATCGTGAACCATATCCTTGAAGGATGCTGGTCCCTCCTGGCACGTGTGGTTGTGCACCCTGCTCAGCACTACTGGAATGCCTTGTCTTCAGCCCCAGCTGTCTCTGCTCTGTTGAAAAGATCCAGCTGCTTCTGTTGGGCTTGAGAGAATACTGGGCACATCTGGGATGCTCGAGTCCAGCACTGCTTCGACTCCAAAATCTCCCTATGGCATCCAGCCACACTTATCACTGAGGCAGAAGGGGGCAAACTTTGGCTTCAGTTGCCTGTAATAGCCTTTTTTGGACTTAAATCTAGGTTCAGTTTTGTGAAAAGGATCCCCAGTTGCAGTCATGAAATTCCATTGTTGTTTCCAGCTTCTGCGTGATTATCTGTATGCAGGAGAATGAGGAATGAGCAGTTGCCTTGGGTGGTGGTTTTACTTACAGGCTTATTGTGGACTGTCCTGATTTACTTGAATGATGGCTGTCTCTAAAGGGTTGCAGGAGCAGGGACAGCTGGTCCTGGTGAGGGCTGTGACAGTCCTTGGCTGTGCTCAGTAGACAAGGAGCTCATGGTGGTGATGAATGGGTTTGCTTCTCAGGGCCCTGTGGTGACAGACAACGGGAACTTCATCCTGGACTGGAAGTTCGACAAGGTTCATGAATGGAGTGAAGTGAACACCGCTATAAAAATGATACCAGGTAATGCCTGTGCTTTTGAAAAGCAAAAGAAAACCAAACCAGACAAACACACACTAAAAAAACCCCAAACACAAAAAACCCAAAACCTGCAGCCTAGCTAAGACTTGGTCTGTCCTAAATAACCCTGACTGTGGAGCTCCCTCCTGGATAGGAGGAAATGTGTGAGTGTTTACTGCCCTTTTACTGGGCCCTACACTTGTTTCTGGCTGAGAGGTCCATCAGCTGAATTCATAGAGATGTACCCCTGTGGCATTTCCATATGCTGGTGAACACCTGGGTAATGCCAGGTGAATTAATGACACTGCTTCTCCATGATGCACCCTGGTCCTGTGCTTTTTCTTGCTTTCCTTGTGCCCATTTGGAGAGGGACTTTTAATGAAAACACTGGTGGACTCTGGAGTGAGAGTTCATGCTGTGTTACAGCGTTTTCAAGATGTTGCTTGCAGCTCTGCATCCCATTGCCATGGCGTAGTCCTAAGGGCTCACCTGCGGGTGCAGCGTATCCCAGCTGGCGCTGTGCGAGAGAGGAAGCAGTGGCTGACACGGTTTGCAAACGAAACTGGGACTGTTTAGTCTTGAAAAGATAAGGCTGAGAGGGGATCATACTGATGTATATAAATACCTGAGGAGTGGGGGTCAGAGGAAGGTGTCGGTCTCGTCACAGTGGTGCCCAGGAATAGAACAAGGAATAATGGGTGTACGCTAGAACACAGGAAGTTCCACCTCAGCATGAGGAGAAACTTCTTCCCTGTGCGGGTGCCGGAGCCCTGGCCCAGGCTGCCCAGAGAGGGTGTGGAGTCTCCTGCTCTGGAGACTTTCAAACCTACCTGGACGCGTTCCTGTGTGGCTGCCCTGGGGGATCCTGCTCTGGCAGGGGGTTGGATTAGATGATCTTCAGAGGTTCCTTCCAACCCTGAACATTCTATGATTCTATGAAACAGCCTCTCTGCAAGGACTCCTGCCTTGCATGAGACCTGCTGCCTGGGCCAGAGCTGCTTCTGGACGATCCAGATCTGCCCAGGGGTGGTGGCACTCTCTGGACTTCAGTGAAGCAGCAGATCATAGAATCATAGAACAATTCAGGTTGGAAAAGACCCTTGGGATCATCAAGTCCAATCTTTGACCCTACACTACAAGTTCACCCCTAAACCATATCACCCAACACCCCATCTAAACGACACTTGAACACATCCAGGGATGGCGACTCAACCACCTCCCTAGGCAGTCTGTTCCAGTGTCTGACCACTCTTTCTGTGAAGAATTTCTTCCTAATGTCCAGCCTAAACTTGCTCTGTTGCAAATTGAAACCATTCCCCCTGGTTCTGTCCCTAATTACCTGTGAGAAGAGACCAGCACCAACCTCTCTACAATGTCCTTTCAAGTAATTGTAGAGCATGATGAGGTTCCCCCTCAGCCTCCTCTTCGTCAAACTGAACAGACCCAGCTCCCTCAATCGCTCCTCGTAAGATAGACTGATTCAGTCACATCTGGGTATCTTTCTGGTTATCTTGGCAACATTTGCTCTTGAACTTAGTCAGCTTTTGAATACATATTGTTGTAGCTTTTATCTTTTGAGTTTATCTCAGATACCTGCCAGACCCTGGACTCGGTATCACAACCACCTTCACTGACTGCTCGTGCATTGCCAGAGCATACAGGAACAGGCTGGGATCCTGTGGCACAAAACTCCATGTCCCCACAAAGCAGCAATACATTGTCCTGGCATCACAATTAAAACACAAGAGCAGGCAGAGGCCGTGGATGTAGACTGGGTGGAGAGTTGCCAGTAACTTCTAGTAGCTTCTATTCAATGGCTTTGCTCCCCTCAGTGCTGCTTCTAAGGCTGATTTTCTTTTTTTTCCTGCTCTAGGGGCAAACTGCTGGGATGCTACCTCTGCCTTGGCTTGTCCTGGTGCATTTGCTGAATAATTACCTGGCACTTGCTTGCAGCCAGCAGTAGATGGCAGGTTCAACTCTTTGGCAGGAGCAGTTCTAAGTGACCCAGTGACCACAGCTGGGCTGGGCTGTCCCTGGTGCAGTGGTCCTTACCGTGTTGGTGTGGAGGTGGTCTCAGAACCATTTGCTGCTCAGAAGGGAGCCTGCTAAGGGGAGAAGAACATCTTTCCTACTCAGAAGTGGAAGAGCAGAACTGTTAAAGCCTGGTGACAACAGAGCTCTGGCCACCTCACTCTTGGGGTAGCCCGGGACCGCCACTTCTTTCCACCATCCTGGCCTCTGGCTGTGGCTCAGTGATCACTGTGAAGTTAGGAGCACCCCATAATTCAATGCAGCCAAAAGCACATTTGCAAATGGGCTATAAATTGCAGAAGTATCATCATATCTGCTGTCTTTTAACATTTGAACAAGTACTGTCCAGGTGTTGTCTAACAGGACAGGTTTTTTCGATGTGTTTAAATGCGAAGTGAGCTAAGCCTGTGGCTGCACGTAGCTTCCTCTTGCCCCTGTGGGTCGTCAGGTAACTGAAAAGGCCACACTTTTGTGATTGTGTTAGTGCCACAGTGGTGGCTGGGGTTGTGTGAATGGTGGGGGCAGCTTTGGGAGTTTGTCTTGCTCTGGAAGGAGCTTCCTCTTGGAGTGGCCACATGGAGAAGAGTTCCCAAAGGCCACTTTGTGACTGGTCAACATGACCCAAGCTGGACACCGCTCTCCAAACCTCTGATGGAGGCCTTGGTGCTTCTTAATGAATGAAACCACAGTCAGAGCAGAGGATTTGAGAGTGGGGTGGCCTTAACTAGCATGAGAACATCTTAAGAAGAGCGGCCAGGGGAGCTGGGATTGTTTATAGTCTGGAGAAGGAGAAGCTGAGAGGAGACCTCATTGCTCTCTACAACTACCTGAAAGGAGGTTGTAGTGAGGTGGGTGTTGATCTCTTCTCCCAATTTACTAATGATAGGATAAGAGGCCCTTAAGTTGCACCAGGGGAGGTGAGGCTCTTAAGTTGCACCAGGGGAGGTTTAGATATAAGGAAAAATGTCTTTACTGAAAGAGTGATGGGGCATTGGAACAGGCTGCCCAGGGACGTGGTGGAGTCACCATCCCTGGAGGCCTTCCAAAAACGCGTTAAGTGTGACACTTCAGGACACGGTGTAGTGGTCGTGGTAGTGTTGGTAGATGGTTGGACTGGATGATCTTCGAGGGCTTTAGCAACCTTAACGATTC